TATTCGTTTGTAGTTGTGTTTTGAGTCAATCCATAAACACTTTTATCTTTTGGGTTCACATGACTTTTAAACTTATAAAATTACAAAATATATAAATATAAATTAGTATACATACTATTAATTAACAGAATAAAATAATGTAAACTCACTTCTTTTAAGACATATTGAATATTTGGTGAGTCAGTCAATATTTTAAGTGCAATTATGCATGCTGGTGTACGTGACTGTGTATATTTTTCATTTTCACATGACAAGATTCGTATTCCATCTAACCAGGTTGCTAAAAATCCATTCCCATTCTTTCGAACATTATCCAATTTATTAAAAGGAATCCATTCGATTATTTCTTCGTATTTCGTAGCTTTAAGTTGAAACTCCTTAATACAATCGTCGATATTCTTATTTCCACTTGTCCATCCTTGTATTACCCCATGAAGGTCACACGTTTGACACCAACTTTTAGATGTGTTATACCGGTTGCAATTTGCACACGTTCCATTCTTTATATTTCTTTTAGATTTAAATTTATCGAATACTAACATATATTCGTTTGTATATGTGTTTTGAGTCAATCCATAGATACATTCACCCTTTGATTGAGCATGATTTTTAAACTTGAAGATTAAAATAAAAAAATAAAAAAATATATGAATATTTATTTATACACGCTATTAATAAATAAGCTACATATAATAAAATATATAATCTTACTTCTTTCAAAATATTTCGAATATTTTGTGAACTAGTCAATATTTTAAGTGTAATTATGCATGCTTGTGTACGTGACTGTGTATATTTTTCATTTTCACATGACAAGATTCGTATTCCATCTAACCAGGTTGCTAAGAATAGATCGCCAACTTTTAGAATAGTTTCTAATCCATTAAAAGGAATCCACTCTATCACACTCTCATATGCTGTAGCTTTAAGTTGAAATCTTTTAATGCAATCATCGATATCCTTATTTCCACTTGTCCAACTTTGTACTATCTTTTGAGGGTCGCATATTTTACACCAAGCGTAAGATGTGTTATACAGGTTGCAATTTGCACATTTTCCATTATGCTCAAACATTTTAGAACTAAATTCATCGACCATAATTCTTGATTTAATATGTCTCAGATAAATTTAATAATCGATGTTGTTATGCATTATATAGTAAGACATGTAGTAGAGTGTCCAAAATTCAGTGTTTTCCGATTTTTCCAAATTTGCAAGATTTACAGAACCCGCAGTTAAATAGTGCATTATTACGTATTGGTCTGCTTTATAATGATCAGAATTTGCAGAATCCGAGGCATATCTTATTGTCTACTCTAAATTTGATAGGATGATTATTTTAGACCAAGTCAAAATTTCTGTATATGGTGCTGCTAGGAACGGCTTCACAAATCCGTACGGAATTCTAGCGTGTAGCACAAATATTTACATAAGTATTTCTCACTGTATAGCTAAATACGACGGCCATCTTGCAATGTCATATATTTTATAATTAGAAAAATCCGATCACATTTATAAAACCATATTCGTGGATAATTACTCGATAATTTCAGACACAAAATGAAAGAGGGTGGTTATTCACAATAGAATACAGTAAATATAATTGCTATGGTGCGGGGAGGTTTAACTTCAATCTCATGTAACATATCCAATTAGTTTGCTATAATAGGCTATAATTGAAAAAAAAATTAAATTTGATTGGTTGAAAACTAAGATTTTAATTGGGTAAACTTATAAATCATATCAATCATATCGATATGTGTTCCAATTTTAATACGTAATGTAACCATATAAAATCATTTAACTTTCAAAGCTATTAACTTTTATAGAAACTATAAAATCTAACTGGTAGCTTGTCTCAAACAATTACTAGTTGTAATCTTATAAAAAGTTAAGTGGTATGTCGAAGTGGAAGAGTATAAATTTCATAGTAAAAGTCGGCGGCGAATTACTAATACTTTCATATGATGTTAGAATGCCGAAAGTTTCTTGCAATATGTATAGTTGCAAAGGAGAAAATACCAATAACTCGCGATCTATTAAACCAATCTGAATAATTCTATCACTATCAGAACCGAAATAACTTGCTCTATAATCTTTGTTAGAAACTCAAGGAAGGTTTACTTGGTATTACAAAGCTTTCATTGTATCCTAGCTGTATTCCAATTTCTACTATTAAATTTGCTATTTTATATCCATTAACCACGATTTATCTCTTAATAGATTTTTTATTCGATACCCTACTATGATCGGTACAATGAAACCTCCATAAGTGCACCCTCTATATATGCATATCTAGATACACGCTCAAATTCGAACCAAATATATACATGACCTATATAAATGCACTTTTTCTTATTGTTCTCTAAGTGCATGTCGTACTTATTGAGGTCTTATCTGTAACTGGTTATTTGGTAATTCTTAGTTAAACATTTCTAAAATCTCATTATGGTTGGATAAGACTTTATACTCAAGTATGTATTTACAGTAAAACCTTCATAAGTGCACGTTCTTGGGACCGAACTTTAACGACATGCACTTAGAGAACAATAAGAAAAGTGCATTTATGATGGTCATGTATATATTTGGATCCGAATCTAAGCGTGCATTTAGAGAGGATGTGCACCTATAGAGGATGCACTTATGGAAGTTTCACTGTATTTATTTATATCTGGCATTACGTTTTAATTAGAGTACACAAATTAATTTATTTTTGTAATTTTTGTATGTTTAACATTAATATTGCAATAATTTTTGATTTGAAACTATAAGCACTAAAATCCACATATACACTTTATTTATCAATTCTAGTCTAAATTCCAACCCAACCCTATCAAATAGGTCCAAATTTCAGCATTAACCGCGACAATAAATATTACTACTGTATTATTATTCAAATCCGACACTTGATTAGTCATAATTTGAATTTTTCAATATTTCTGACGATTCCGAATGCAATTGTTCTGAATACGATGGTCTAAGTAATAGTTATCCATGACCAACCTCATATATGTACCTTTTTCAATGTATTTAGTTTTACTAGACATATATCTATTCAATTTAGGTAATTGAGTATTATCTTATTTAATCTTAAATGTCACAAACAATGCGTAAAGTAAAGGTTTCGTTCTAAAATAAGTACATGAAATTCATGTTACATAGATGGCAGAGGATATAACTATTACTTATTGTCTGCTACGCATTCAATAACTATATATCCAGTGATTATTTTTCACTGTGCGCAGCACACAAAATCAAAATTTTGCGCACATCTTCTTTTGACAGATGTGCGAATGCTGCACAGAAAAAATTAATATTTTGTAAATAGTACGTATAGTTACTTGTAGACTTTCTTATTTGCCGCACAGAAAAGTTTCCAAATTGTGCGGCATTCGCACAGTAAATTTTAACTGAAAAATTAACACTGGATACGTCTCCAATTTTAAGCCGTAATAGCCATAAATATTCATGTCCGACCATTTTTGCTAAGATAACACACAATATTCTAATATGTTTATTAATATCTTCATCTTTTCTGATTTTCGAGCATAAATGAATCTTATGCTCATAATTCTATTTTTATAATTGCAACCTGCATTATCCGCTCAAAAAGCATCATCAATATCAATAGTCTTGGATTATAAATAAACACCTTATGTTGCATCCTTTTCAACTCAGTTTCTTTATTTTTTTGTCATAACAATAAACAACCCGGGATTTACAAATTTGCAAATTTACAAAATAATAAATAAAGCAAGTTAATTATAGATTTAAAATTGAATAAGAATTATTAATTTAATTTTTTCGTGTAATTTAATTGTGAAATAATGGTTAAGAGTTCTGTTTCAGTCAAACATATTAAAAAAGTTTGTTAGATATTGCTAAAAATCTAACCACAAGTTACTATAATTAGAGATCGATCCGTTATCCGTTTAAACAATAAAATCGTGTGTAGGATCTCAACAAGTCAGTACACATTCGAAATTTTGTCACAAACTTTCTCAGTATCATATAGTTCGTTATATTAAATATGTGTACATAGCCCTGAGCTAGTAAAGAAGAGTTGGATACGGCACATAAAAATTTACTATATAAAGTTCGGTATAACCAGCCTAAATTTTTATAAAAAATCGGTTCTGCCGGATCTGGTTCGTTATAACCCGACTGTATTGATTTTGTTATAAAATTAAACTGGTGGATATCCGGATAACATCTCTAATTATAATGAATCAGAAATAATCTCCATTCAAATTACAGATTTCTAAACTAAAAAAGGTCATATACTAATCGGAAAAGGTCAAGTCAGAAGCGTTTAACTAAAATCTCTAAACATTCTAAAGTAATTGAAATATAGTTTCATATTCGAGTGTTAATAGGTTTGAATTAATGGTTGTTCAAAATTTGCTCTTCATCATATTTTATATATTTAAAGTTTCGATAATTAAAATAAATTGTAAATAGCAGGACGATAACTTAAGTGTTAGATCGGGCTAATCAGTTGAACCGTGCAAAAAATTACAACTTTGGAGTGAAAGGTTACAACCTTCAAAACTTTACCGAATATATTATGGCAGGGAACCTTAATATACAGGGAAACACCTCATTTTGTCTACAACCATTTCACCTACAAGCCATTTAGCCTATATCACACGGGATGACAATTTATCTAATAAAATGCTAACTTTAAACATATGCATTAGAATCTCCAGATTTTATATAATAATAATTATATACCATAAATAGATTTATAGTTTACACTTTATTGATACGTTTCTTTTTTACATTACATATGAAATAATTTTTACTATATCAAGTATCTGTATAATTTGTGCGTATGTATATAAAACATACATAAATATACTTAAAAGAAGAAATTGCTTAATATTGTATAACATGATATTTTTATATATTATATATAAACATTATATTTATCTCATGAACATTCAATAGTTTAGATGTTCTCTTAGATAAAAAATAATTAAAAATAGTTTGTAATTTATTTAGTTGTTAGCTTGCATTTTACTTCGATAGAATTCAATCTCTCTTAATTGAGCAGCAACACATTTATTACATTTACATAAATCATCGTGTGAAGTAGATGATTCTTCCTTACTCTGGTCGGTATTTGATTTAGATTCCATAATATTTCGTTCGCCAACATACTCATGATCTTCACTATCATCAGATAAATAATTATTATTTGATTTCATTAAATCGCTCCCCGATTGGGAAGATGTTGGTGAACCGTTACTATAAGTAAGTTTAGAATAATGTTGTGGTCTTTTTGAAGCAATAGGTGTGTTGATTTGAATAGGTTGTGATTGAGACGAGCGAGTTTCACTTTTTGAACGTTTATGGATTTGCCCTGGAATATATTGAGAATTTTTATAAAATCCTGAATTTTGTCTTTCTGGCAATAAATTTTCGAAACGTCTTTCAGTACGAGATGGTGATGTTGGTGTTAAAGGATTATTTTTCGCTGGGACAGATATATTTTTTGCCTGGTCAGAATAATATGATGTCTTTGGTATTTGAATGTCCCTAGTTACAATGTTTCTTCTAGAATTTAAAGGCGGTCTGCTTGTTGATTTTATATAATCCTCATCGTCTGTATCTTTCACATTTTAATGAAGTCAATACATATTGAGTTACTGAAATTAACACAAAACAAAATTTCTAATATTAATAATTTTAATACCTGAGCTTATCGGTTTGTTTAATTGAGATTCTTTTTTATCAAATGCTTTAATTGTCGGTTTAACGAATTCCTGAAGTGGTGGCTTTTGACTGAAACTCATTTCAAGGATCTTTGACATCTCTTGCTTGATTTCATCATTTTCTTTCCTTAATAGTTCTAGTTCTTCTTTTTGAGCTTGACTTTCTTTATTTTTGATTAAAAAATCAGTTTCCAATATAAAAACTCTTTCTCTAAGTAATTTTACTTCATATTGTAAATTATCAGTCGAATCATTATCATTGATGCTATATTGATCATTTGAAATGGGAGATAGGATTGATTGAGTTACTTTGGATGATTCTAATTGATCAATTCTTTGACGTAAATGTTCAATAGTTTTAGCTTGTTCTTCTAATTCTTTTATCAATGGATTCATTGATAATAATTCAAATAATTTTGTTTGATAATCATGAAATTGATCCATTTTTTCATTAATATCTGCTATGTTGAAAAATTATATGTAAATAAATACTGTTAAAAATTACTTTTTAAATATGAAACTATTGAAGATTCTTTTTGTCAAAATTGGTTTTATGCAAAAAAAGTTTTTTTTTACAAAACGTATTGGTACAAGTTATTTATCATATAAAACAAAATATTTTGTCTTGTGTAATCATTATATAATACGTAGCGATATTAAATGTAACGTGAATTGTAACACATGTACATTTGAATTTTGTTACACTTTAAAGTCTCGCCACAAGTTTCACAAAGCTAACATGTGTTCAGTCAAACAATTCTTTAAGTGGGATGATTATAAAAAGGTAAAAATTTTGATATTTTATTTCGCTTAACTGACTGAAAATTTATAATTAACTGAATATAACCGTTAACTTTTTTATAACCTATATATATGCGAATCTAAATTCATAGTTGTGCCCAATTTTTTTGCAAATCTGATGAGAAAGAATCTGACGAAAACTAATTCTATATTACCGTAAACTGTCATATATAAGATTCCCCAAATCGTAGACCCTACCTCATGTACTAGGTCTGGTGAAATTAGTGATGTGCCATTTATATGATATCCGGATTTTTTTTTGCATACAGTACGTACAGTACGTATAGTGCGTATAGTGTGTATAGCATGTGCAATATGTATAATACACGTATGATATATAAACTATCTATATGCAAAATTTCACAAGGAATAATTTTACTTAGAATACAAAAGTCGGTTTCATAAGGAAATTTTTGAGATATGAATGGGTTTATAATTTGTTCTAGAATATTCCAAAAAAAATTTTTTTGCTTACTGTACTATACGCGGCACATCACCAGGTGAAATCACAGGATTCTCTTTAATTAAATACGGGTTTTCAAAAATCTGAGTTGCCTGTTATAAATGTGTGCGCATCTCAAATTTTACATTATAATATATGAGTGATGGTCTGTAAAAACCTGTAAATAGATTCACTAACCAGAAACGACCCCTGATGAAATATGATGAAATATTACACATGTTATTATTTTTAACTTAGCAATTGTTTGATAGAAGCGTTTTGCAAAATAAGATGTGTAATGGAAGCGATTAGAGCGGTTAGAATTGTGTATTTATCACATTTAATTTATTTTTACGGTCAGATTCATCAGGGGTCGTTTCTTGATAGTGACTCGATTTACAGGTTTTCACTGACCGTCACTCATATTTAACAGGTCAAATTTTGTACTACATGATTATGGTTCGATATAGATGATGTTGAATCTGTATAATTATCTATTTTAATCAGAATATTGCAATAGGTAGTGAAGGTGGCATTATAACTCAATATAATATCAACAACTGTACTGGTTCCTCAGTCATTAAGTTTCTTCGTTTTTTCTAGCTTCATTCCTTTTGGAAATTTTATGCTTTTACATTTTAATTAAAGAAAAAGGTACATGGCAATGTTTACTTTATTAAAATATTTTCTTATAATGCGATTACATATTATAATGATGTTCAGGGTTGCCAATTGGAAATTTTACCGCTCCTATCAATTGTGCCATTGCTCTATTTGAATTTTTTATTAATAGACCGTATTAAATTATTATAGATATATATTTAGCATTTTAATATAACAGTTTATTTAGTAATTATAAATAATTTAAACGTTATATACTGTATGAGCAAAAATGCACTATATCCAAATTTCGCTTCATTTGCAAATACTAATGATGTTTGGTACAGGATAATTCTTATTGCCTAATAAATAACTATTTTTGTTTTTATTAAAAGTCAATTAAATATATAATATTTTATTAAAAGTCGGCCATTTTGTATTTAAAGCAAGGTTTTGTATCCAAACGTTGTAACTAATTTGGTCGAACCGGGAGTAGGGCATTTCTAAAATAAAGAACATATCGATGTTCCATATCCTTCCGATATACCCGAATTAACGAAAGTAAGAAAAGTAATAAATTTCTTTTACTTTTCATGTGACTAATTTCCCGACAGTTAGTCACGTGAGACCCGTGATAGATTTTCACAATCGAGTTTATGGCCCACATGATGATCGGCAACAAATATGTATAACCAATGTAAATCGATCAAAACAAATGTTTGTTTTGATTTTATCGTCTTTTATTAAGAAATTTAAAAATACAAATGTATTTTGATAAGAATTTTAAATTAGAATATAGAAAAGCATTAGACGCACTTTGCTGAAATTTGAAATTAATGGAAGTTCGGAGATAACAAACTTGGATCAAAAGAAGAAGCGTTAGTAGATGTATTTTGTAAGATTACCACACTAACTTCAGACCTTTATTTAAAATATTTGAATGAAAAAGTAAGTATATTATTGACAATTATTTTGATGAAATATACAATTACTAGACGTGAAATTTGTATATGAGTAAGGTAAAGAAAGGCCGACTGATTTATGTGGTGGGAGGAGAAGGGATCAGTCATATACCATTCTTTGCTAAAAGGGTCCACCAATTCTGGATGAGGAAATTGGTTACGACCTTTTCTTATATAACAATAACTTCGTCAATGTATTTTGGTATTTACATCTTTTTTATTTTATTTTATTTTATTTTTGTCTAATTATGCTTATTGTGAAATGTAATATATTTCTAATTTTAATTTTCTTTTATTACAAAAAGAATTTAGTTCGTATGATGACAAAAGATGAAATTTAAACCCACCGATGACGAATTTATTATTAATTTCAGTTTATTTGCGTTAATTGAAAGTACATATAATTAATATATGTAAGTGATTTATAAAAAAAATCATTATTTAAATGTTGAAATCGTTAAATCACAGTTGAAATTACTAACTTATTACTAAAAAATTTCAAATCACACCCAATATTAATAATAAATCCTAACCACCAACGTTATAAGTACTAATCGATTTACTGCAAAACAGTGAATTCACGACCGGAGTAAAATCGTCACCCAAAAAGTTTCGACCATTACGCGACAAATATATTAAGCACTAAAAATTCATGTAACGCAACAAACAAATTTAGACTAACCAAATAATAACGATATAAGTAATAGATTAATCATTTTATTTATTCGAATAACTAAATAATCGTAATATTTATTATAGCTAGAAAGTATTATGATTATGGCATTTTTAAGTATTTGGAATATTATATTGCCTTTAAAATAATTATAATCTTCCAATTTATGCAATGGCACAATGATTTTATTAATATTATCGAATCATTTGTTACTATTTGATTTTTAAAATAATTTTTGCTTCGTCCTGGATTCAAATCAATAATCAGAATTATAATCTTCCGAAAGAGCATTAAAAATAAAACCTACAAGATTTTTTGATTCAATTGCATTGTCTTGACTAGTTTTTACAATTTTATTTCGATTTCATTCTTTTTTCGTTTATTGTTAATGGAAATTTGGTTACGGCAATCAGCATATATTTTTAAAATAGTGTATTTATTAGATTTTATACTTTTAATGATCGCTTTTCACTTTAAAGAATCGAAGAAAAAAAATAAATTGCAAAATCAATTATGTTAATATTTTAATATAATGAATTGACAATATCACATGATTTTCGAGACTTTTTTGGATGGTAATTTTATCCGGTCTTAATTCACTCAACGTTGAAATCACCAATTCGCTTATGAAATCACAAATACATCCACAATTAAAACAACTAATCCACCCATAGTGAATTTATAAACTTGCCTTCTAGGTTTAAGGAAAGACTCAAAAAAGGGACTAGTACTTACCTACGGACAAGAATCCACCAGCCAAATCAAACACGCCAATTTTGACTTAGCCGCCGTAGGTTACGCGAGAGTTATATTAGATTAGCGACAGACTCGTCAATTTCCGAACCAAAAATATCAACTTTTATTGACCCGGCTCGAGATTGGAATTGATGATTTTCGAGCATCGTTTGCCTTAAAACTTGGGAGTTTTTCGAGTATTGATGAAATTTTTTTCTTTCACATAGACGGATTTTTCTATTAAAAACCATGCCAACCATGCCAAAATTGTTTGTTTGTCCTGGAACTTTCTGGGTACCTTCCACAATTGCAAAAAAATAAAATCGGAATATTATGAGTTTAATTCAAATTTTTTTTATGCCAGTGAAAAAACTCGTCGATCGATTCTTGATTATTTATTCACCGATTCCAATCCCTAGACCTGGTGACCGGGATTAATTTGTTTTAATAAAAATTTTATTTTGAAATTTTAGTGACACACAACCCGAATATCCAGTAAGAGAATTTATATGCTAAAAAAAATTTTAATAATATGTGAATGGATGACAAGGAGGGCATTTTAGGACTTTAGGAGTTTTCGGACAGCTACTCCAAAATTGTCGCTTAATATTTATCACCCTGAAAATCAAAAAAAAATGAATGTTAGTTAATACTGTATTTATTTTTGAATTTTAGATCATATTTCAGAAATTTGAAGCATCTATAGTAAACTCAAAATCTTTTAGAACGTCAGAAAAGCAACTTTACTGAGCATGAAAGGTGATCTACCATTTCACAAAATTGGAAACATTTTACATAGTCTAAAATAAATCAGGTTGCGCAACATAATCATGCTTAAATAAAGAACTTCTAATGTTTGTAAAAATATTACCTAATTGGCAATTACTTTATGCAAATTACTTCAAAGTATTTCTTATCTTATCGATTGATTAGCAATTATTGAGAACTGCTATTCGCACCATGGTATGTAGATTATGACCAGAATCAGTTAGAGTTAGGGTAAGTGGATTTTCATAATGTTAGTCACCATGATGCGAATAGCAAAAATCCATGATGCGAATAGTAATTCCCCAATTATTTTATGCAAATTATTTCAAAGTATTTCTTACTTATCTTATCAATTGATTATCAAAATCATATGATTAAATAAAATTTGATTCAATCACATGCAAGACTTCATAAGTTTGCTACATAGCATTATCTATAAGAGATCCTTTTAGTAATGATGAGC